ATATATATATATATATATACAAACTTAAACAAAAACCTAAATACAAACTTAATACATTAGAAAAACAAGGGGTATAAATATCTGCGTGCAATCATATTTGCCCTTTCGACGCATTGTAACTAAAGAGTATACTCTTTGTGTTAAAAACTCAAGCCCGTAGCCAGGATTTTGGTAGGGGGGTTCTTTTTGATACTGAAAGGGCACTTGCGAGCACCAGGGTCCAGGGCCAAAACCCCGGTGGGGTCCAGCATTCGAAGCATTTACAGCTGTTATTTAATTGATTTGAGAGGCCATACAAGAGGTAATTTTTTTGAGTTGGGAAAAGATAAAGATAAAAAAAAAAAAAAAAAAAAAAAACTACTACTTTAGTACTACACATGGCCAGCGGAAGCGGCCCCCCCCCCCACATTTTGGCGAAAAAAATATAATGTCTGGAGATTTTTGTATGGTCGGAAATGCAAAAAAAGAAGAAGGGAAGAAGGAGGAGAAGGATGGGAAAGAGAATGTTTATCCAGTACCCGACCGAGTTACATTTTCTCGCAATTCACATTGGCGGATCTGGGGGAGGGGGTAATGGGTCCTGACCCCTCCCTTGGGCAACAAAAAAAGGGGGAAAAGAAAAGAATTCTAAACCTACCTTTTCAGGACCCGTGAGCTGATTTTTTTTTCTTTTTTTTTTTTTGTTGCTATTAAAAAATTAGAATTTTGAAGAACATAAAATTCATTAAAACACACTTCAAATGTCGGGAAAGCTCAATTCCCGCCATCTAGGAATCAAAATTTTCCCGGGGGAGAACCCCCGGACCACCCTTTCTTTTTGGGATTTATCGATTCATGGAAAAAAAGAATACGCATGCAACTACCCATTTGTTTATGTATGTATACACACATAAAATAAAAAATGAGAAAAATTTACCTGACCTTTTTCAAGAGGGGAAAACCTTGAATTTTGTAGAACTTTAAAAGTCATTAAAAGAATTTCAGAAGTCGAAACTTAAGCTCATCTCCCGCCATCTAGAAATAAAATGTTTTCCGGGGGAACCCGGACCCCCTTTATCTTTGGAGTTCATTGATTAATTGAATCATTTTCAAGGGGTGGGGGAACTTGAATTTTGAAAAATTTAAAAGTCATTAAAAGACACCACAGAAGTCGGGAAAGCTCATTTCCCGCCACCTAGGAATCAAAATTTTCCCGGGGAAGAACCACAGGACCTCCCCTCCCCCCACCCTTTCTTTTTGGGATTTATCGATTCATGGAAAAACTACGTATGCAACTTACTCAATCTTTTTTTATGTATGTATACACACATAAGCCCTATTTTCTGTAATAACAATGGGAAAAAATTACCTGACCGTTTTGAAGATGGGAAAACCTTGAATTTTGAAGAACTTAAACGTAATTAAAGACACGTCAGAAGTCGGGAAAGCTCATTTCCCGCCATCTAGAAATCGAAATTTTCCCGGCGGAGGAATGTTGACAAAGAGAAGATAAAAATAAAGACAAGAATAAATAGGAAGATATAATGAACAGATATCGCAATACCCCGGCCTGCAACCCCTTCTCCACTTCAAAAAGTGTCCATAGCGCATTTGATCTAAGCCGCCAGATATTCTCCGCAGTGGCGTAAGCACCGGGGGAC